TGCATAAAAAGCATGCTTATGAAATTGGAACACTATTGGTAGCATGCACTTATGACGACATGCTCGCAGCGCTGACAAACAATTTTGGAACACAGCCGAAGAAGCAAGTGGACCGCAGCCATAATGTAGATTAATTAGCATATTCCTATTCTCCGTACAAATGTGTGCCTTCCAACAAGCGACACAAATGACACGGGGTGACACAATGGATCATTATATCCTTGTTGTTTGTCAATGTTAAACAAAGATGACATGATCACTGTGTCGCACTGTATTGCTTGTTGGAAGGCACACACACTGAGAAAAGTGATCTGGTTGGATTAAACAATAATTCTGGTGGAAAATGGACGAATCAGAATTTTCTGGTTATGTCTATTAGAATTCTAGTTAAGATAACCAGAATTCTGATTAATATATAATTATTCTGGTAAAAATAAGAATTCTGGTAGATTTTATTAGAAATATAGTATCAACCAGAATTCCGGTTATCTCAGCTAGAATTCTAATAAATTTAACCAGAAATTTCTGATTCCATTTTCAACCAGAAATTTTTTTCAGTGTATAACATATTATTTTAACAATGTTCTTTTACAGAAAATTGCAAATTTCAGTGGACTGTTGAAACTACGAAACTTTTAATAGAAGAAGTTAGAAGCCATATGGCATTATTAGATGAAAAGAATTATATGCAAAAAAGAGTATGGAGAATAATAGCAAATAAGTTCAATGAAAGAGGATATAACATAACAGAGGAACAATGTAATGTTAAATGGAAGAATTTGAAGCAAAAATATAGAAGTATACGAGATCGTAATAATCAAACTGGTACAGCTAGAGAATGCTGGGAATATTTTGATATGATTGATGATTTCATTAACATCAAACCCGAAGTAGCATCAATTGCTTCTAGTTCACATGGATTTAGGATAAGGCAAGTAAGTCCATCTACGGACCAAAGTGAGGATCCTATCGATGAAAATAACTCCGCAGCAGTAAATACTTCTTATGGTAGAATACGTAATAGAAGACAACGCCTAGCAAGTAATGGATCTACATGAGCCAAAGTGCTACACGAACAAAGCCAGAAACATCATAAAGAAAACATAAAAATGCAACAGGAATTTTTGGTATTATTCTAAAAATACGTAGAAACACAGAGGAAAAATTAAAATACAGTAAGAGAGCACATGTTTCTATGATATTTATATTTGCATTAGTACATGAGAAAATGTTTTTTTGTTTTCGTGATGGTTACGCTGTGAAATAAAAGCAGATTATAGATCAGTAGTCGCAAGGATTTGCACATTTCGAGCCGATTCCGGCGCGCGACCCCCACCACCGCACGGCCGAACCGCCGGGCGGTCACGTGACGCTCTGACTCAGGGGCGCTCCTATACCAGAAATATACTGGGAGCGCGCCTTCCGCCAAATTATTATTGAAATGTTTTTTATTAAATAATTTATATAATTATATTATTTATTTAATAATTTATATAGTTATATTAATTATTTAATAATTTATATTATATTAAATAACTTATATTTATATAAGCGATCTGAAGAACCGTACATAATCATAATTTTTCATAATTTCATCAAAATTCTGGAGTAAATGGATTTTTGGTCACTTATTCGAGTCTTTTTGCCTACTGTGTAGTAGTGGGAAAATAAATACATATCTTTAGTAAGGAGCAAAAGTGGCAAAAAGTGGCAACTTGTTCTCGCCAACCATATTCATACGAACAAAACATGATTTAAAAAAATCAATTCCGAGGCCGCACAGGTCAGTACGATGGATTTGTGTTAAGTCATAATCTACTTAAATCAGAAATATTCGCGTAAACAGCTCTGCCACAGAAAGTAGTGCTAATATTTAGAGTAAATAAATGTATAGCATTATTATTTGTCCATTTTTAAAACAAATACGATTTTTAA